CCTGCTCCACTCCATTAAAATGTAATAATCACTCTGGAAAGCTCCACAGCATAACACTAAACCACAGACTGTATAAAGAAGTGGACTAATATCGGCTATATCTCCTAATTTGGAGCCGGGTTACATATTTGGAATTCCAACCTCGACTATCATAGCAACCAAAGAGCCAATTAGAAGCGAGGTGGTTGCAGGTAATGTTCCTTCCCATCTGTACCACTCGTCTGGCAGGAAGAAGGCGTTTAGCAAAACTGTCATTCAAACCTGTTGCTAACGCTAGTGGGAGCGACCTCAAGAAAAGAAGACATTGGTCTGTTATTAATGTCTTGATTTATGGACAAAATAGCACCACAAAAACACCCGAATCATATAGAGCAGGTTAGGCTCATCATTTTGGTCTTAAAATGTTTGTACTGACAGCAGCATCCTTTTAGAATTAATAAATATTATACCAGAGATAATGTCAAGGTATACTTTATTGTCCCTGCAAGGATTTTTGATTATAATAATAATGATGATAATAATTAAAGGTGCACTATGTACCATTTCTGGGGAAGGATCCGATTTGCTATGATTGTTCACCCCGGAATGTTTCTCATTATAAAATTTAATTTATCAATCTTGCATTTATTTAGTTCTGCTAATAAAATTCAGAAAAATAGTGTTCTCCAGAGAAATTACCTATAACATGGCTGCTTCTGAAAATAGGTTTAATCCTGTGGAAATTCCAGGCAAAGCAACCATATGAGTATGGAGACATGCAGGTGGTGGACCCTCCATCTGAGAAGTTATATAGTGCAGCTTTATCATAATGCAACATACCTTAGAACAATGAATAGCCCTCTAACCTGTTTTAATGTCCACTGTCTAACCACATAGAGTCCTCATTTCATTATCTAGCACACATCTAGTGTATTCTGCTCTGCCACAGTTCCCACAGTGTGGTTTTCCCCTGTCCAACATGTGCCAAGTGTGTGCAGCTTGCTGGCTCCAAGCGTGCAGATTCTGCTCTATGTAAACAACAATATGGTTAGCCCTCTTTCCCCAAATGTAACATAACATAACAAAGAGGTGGGGTGTGCGGCTACTCAGGTAACGCTGCATAAGAAATCTCATCTAGGGGGAACTGGGCTTGCTGGAACCATAGATTGTATCCTTCTAGGCTATAATGAAAGGATACAGAGAAGTATATTCACGTGAAGCACTAAAAGTGTTTTGCATGTGCGGCTGACATACTGTAGGACAAAAGAGGAAACCTTTCTTTGCAATTTGACCCAGAGGTTTTGTCTAGGCTTTGGCTGAATGTGTTGATGGAAGTTAGAGTCTGGAAACACGTGTTGGCAAGATTGTGGGAATCTGGGTGACTCCATGGGAGAAGAACAAGTGGGATTTTGCATAAAACATACATTAAAGTTAATGTATGTGTAATTTGTCTTGTCCCAGTTGCTACAACATTAATCGCAATCTCATCAAAACTGAAATTTGAAAGGACTTGATTAGCAAATTAACAATAAATTCCTCCACAAACAACAAAATATCCTGTCTTAAGCTGAATTCATGAAAATATTTTCAGTCTTTTTTCTAATTGGTCTGGACATGTTTAAAATGTGAACTTTGAAAAGTGCACTATTATTGAAACATAAATCACAAATGTAATTGCAATTGCAGTGCTTGTCAGATATTTTTCCCAAATTTTGTATAAGCAGCTCTTGAAATTAAAATAAATCAGCTGTGTACTGTCTGCATGTAATTATAAACACATTATTGTCCAAGATTAAAGAAAAGCTTAGTTAGGATGCTTGTTGTTGTTGGCTTTACCCTGATAAATAAGTGGTAAATCTCCACTTGGGTTTCTGAAAATTTTGAAAAGCGGTGAATAATTAGGATGCTCGGAATACATAAGACAAGGGAGGAGTAAGTTTGAACCACTGCAAACTATTTAAAATAAGCTAGTTCTGTTTTTCAGGTTTTAAGACCAAATCAGGCACAGCGTCTTTAAAAAAAAAAGTACAGCCGTGCTTACCTGCCATGTTGTGTCTCTGAGTCACTGTTACAACCACAGACGGTCAACACGGAGAACGCTCACTTTCAGGAATCAAAAATCTAAAAGTATTGTTCTATAAAATTACTATGGTTTCTATCGGCATTACGCAATTGCATGATACAGCTAAGTATTCTGAGGTGCCAAGGTTCTTGCATTCACACATTTCAAAAATAGATTATACTGTATATATTTGGAGATTCAGATGGTAAAAGCAAATATGCACAAACCACAACTGCTACATGAAAACCAATAGCAATGAAAACCTATTAATTGTGTTTTATTATTAGCAATAATCAAGTAGCCTATTAATTATTATTCAGTTGAACAGCTATACTTATCTTGAAAATGCAAAACAAAAAAATCGCTGGTAATCTCATACCCATCTAAAATGACTGAAAACAGTGAAGGCATCATGGACTATAATAAACGCAACAAGCTTAATTTTCCGGTGCTGTACTTTATAGGCAGCCTAATGGACCACTCATTTTAGATACAAGTCTCTGGTGTCTCCTCAAACACTGTAAAACAATAGCTTACAGTCTTTTGTTTGTGATTCCCATTGGCCTTGTCTGGACTAGTTGTTTCAGGCAATAATAATTATTATTTATATATTTATTTCTTTAGTGTATTATTTTTTGTAATTAATATCAGTGTTTTAAGTAGAAAATGTTTTAGGCCTACCAATGTTTTCCTCTAAATTGTGAACCTACTGTATGCCTATTTGTTCAACCCCATTCACATCAGAGCAATTTAATCTAATCAATGATTTTAACACTACATGTATAGGCTAGTAATGTTATAGAATATATCTCTTGCACAAGAAGGTATAGTCAAATATTATTACATGACATCCGCTGAACAAAACACATAATTTGATATGTAAATGTGACATCTGCTTGGTTTGGTTTGTCAAAGTAGAGTAAATGTATTGTAGCGTTCTGGTGTTTATTTTCTGAACACAAGGGCTACTGTAGGCTGTAACCCACGCTAAAACAAGCACAAAACAACAGCAGTGTCAGTTCAGCAGAGCCAGTGTTCTAACTGAGCAGTAATTGACAAATCGAACCATCAAATAAACTTGGCATTGTAACCAAGTGTCACATACAAAAGCAGTTAGGCTACATTAACAACAACAAATGAACAGTTTCAAAAACAACAAAAAGGTGTCAAACCTGAACTAAACACAAAATATCAGGTCGTAACATTATTGAAAATTAGATTCAATAGACTAGCAGGCTATCGAGAAGATTCACATTTGAGCAGGTATCTATAAAAAAATAAAATCAAAGGACAGAAATGATCCTTTCCTGAATAGGGTTGGAATGATCTTGCGCTGGCCACATGGTAATATAAAAGAAAGTACCATTATTTAAGGTTGAAAATGACATTGATGTCTAAATAATTGGTGGGGGTTTATTTGTTGTTTTTTTTTTAAATCATCGTTGCATCAGACTGGGTATTATGACAACACTATATGTGTAAGGTTAATGTATAATGTATATAATGTGTAACTTATTTCAAATATAAAGGTGCATAAAATGCTTTGACTAATATGGAACATGGTCTGACACTGTGTAGTTTTGAAAGCAGTGGTTTCAGTTTCTTTTCTGTTGACACAAAAAATACTTACAAAACCACAACTTGATCTATATATATTGCTTTAAAGCACAGAGAACTAGGCCACTTTGGGCTTTTGAAGTTTAGTTTAATTTGACTTGAAATTTTTTTATTTAATTTGGTTTAAAAGAAGCCTACCTAGAAGTATGAGTACACTGATTTTAACTAGAAAAATGAGAAGAGCCCAATTTAGACCAAAAAACATGAACCACATTCAAGCGTATCTGTTGCCTTTGTATGGCTAATGAATGAAATCACCCAGTTCAGTTAAAAGTGTTGTATTAAGATGGGGGAAGTGAGATAAATTTGGACATATTTTAAATGGCCATAGAAATGTCTGTTTGCCTGAATAAATCTCCTCATTACATTTGAATTGGGATCCTTTATATGGTCTGTTTTACCTCAGAGATCATTATCTGTTATATGTTCTATGAGCCTGTGAGTGAACATGATGCTTAATTAACTAATCATCAAAATGTAGTTTTCTTTCAAACTATAGTGTCCTAAGTCAGCCTAACTCAATACCACTTATACTATTGTATCTTACACTACAGTTTCACTGCTTATAGAACCTGCTCACTGATCAGGCTCAGTTCCAGACCCACATATTATTGAGCACGATCAGAAGCACTGAACTTTCAGGTGCAGCTTTTTGGTTGGGGGTCCATCACCTGCTTGTTTCTATGCACCATTGCTCTGCCTGGAATGTTCCACAGTATAACATTAAACAGCTCTACTTTACCTTAGGGAGGTGTCTGTATTTTAAGTTTGACGTGTGCATTCCAGTCTGTACTTTAAGAAGTATGTATTGAAAGGGCTTGTGCTCATGCGCACCAAAGGGTGAACCTGTACATTTTCCATCAAGAGAATAAAATGGAACTTTTGTAATGTTTGTCACAAACAAGTTTAAAGTGAAGCCTTATAAATTATTCATGTTGTTGCACAAAACTCAATTAAAAAGCACTGGACAATTTTACCCCAAAAAGTTCAGGAAAACTGGACTGTGGTGGTAATTAAGTTGAAAAGCGATGTAACTATGTAACTGTTTTAATTTAAATACCATTAAATTCAGGTATTCAGTATTCTGTAATTATGGCCTCACTGTCTATGGCTCCTTTTTATCACTGCATAAAATCGCTTCTGAGCATTAAATGTAAATGAACGCAAAGCCTACATTCCATTTGAGGAAATTCTGAGTGAATTGTCACTTTTGGGGAAGTGTTTTTTTGGTGTCTTTGTTCACTTTTGCCTGTTGAAAGTATGTCAGTGGGTTACATTGACCCCAGCGGAGGCAGTAGAAGGAGGAGTCGCTGAACTGGGTCACATGGCTGAACTCAGCGCGGAGAGAAAACTGTCAGAGCCAGATCCACCGCACGAGCGCAGCCTCACGGTCGTGTCTCTCCACAAACCAACTTCTATGAAACTCTGTGTTTCTGCGGACAAACAGCGGCATTTGCCACATCAAGAAGACGCTTTTGGTCCATTTTTGATTAGAGAAGCTTCCAGTGCCTACGAGGACTTGTCAAGATAACTTAGGCGTAGAAAACTTACCCACGATCATTTGAATCGCAAAGCTTTCCTGTTAGGTTAGCCGGCGAGAATAAACATACGTATATTTTCGCGTTTTTGTAGCGTTAGCTTCGTGTTGATACATGTTGTAGCCTTTTTATAGAGAAAAATCAGCGACTTTATAGTTGCTGAACACTCCAAACTGAAAAAACGGCTTCAGCACTAAGGTAACGGAGGAGGAGACAGAAAGTCCAAGGATATGGAGTCGACCAAAGCCGGTGAGTGTTAAAAATATGCTTTTCAACCATTATTTGATACACAGAGATTTTCTGCAACAGGCATAGTGCATTCTAGAAAAGGGGTCAAAATGCTGTCGAAAGTAACAGAAAATGCAGTTTATGTCATTGTCTGTTGCCTAAAATACCAATGACAAATGTATTTCAGAGTTTTAACATGTAATTTTGCGTTAATAACAATCTAGGTTAGCAGTGCCAGTATAGCAGTGTTGTTACCCAAGTGCTTGGCTCGAGCGGCACTGCAGTCGGCTCCACTCACATGGACCCGTCAGCCCGGCCATGTGCGCCTGTGTTTACGCTGGCTGTGCGTCGGTGCTGATTGGCCGAGCTGCGCCGTGACGTAGGCATTGCATAATTTGTCCGGGTTGGCTGGCGTGTGGACTCGGCGCGGATACACGTGAGGCCGGCGGCAGCAATGGAGCGGTGACCCACTTCTGCCCGGGAAAAAACATGCTCGAGACACGTGGGGGCGGGAAGAGCGTCTTGGGCGGCGCTGAGTTCGCGGCAGCCGTGTGACTTTCCAAGCTTTTCTAGTCAAAGAGCGCGATAAAGAGACATTTTGTGAGAATATTCGACGTTAAAAGGATAAAGAATTACATGCACCATAGTAGCCTACTCTGTTTTGTTAGTTTGTATCGCCTTTTCTGCTTTTTAAGATACAATGCAGGCTACAATTATAAGCCTACTTGAATCTATTTGTATTAACCATAAAATTTTATTTAACTGATATGAACAAACGCGTTGTATAGGGTGACCAGATGGCCCTATTTACCCGGGCTAGTTTTGAGCCATGTGTCCCCTATCCAGCAGATTTATTCAAAACCATTGGTTTGTCCCAGTTTTATATAAGAAATGTTCATATTTTTGACCAATCTATACCTGCCAACAGTAAAGAGAGGCATACAGTGTCATCTGTTACATACATATACAAATACAGAAAAGCTGCTTAAAATGACCAAAACACAAAGAAAATGTGACTATACTGGCTCCCATTAGTGCCGAGTACATAACAACTTTCCTTAAATACGCACGCGTTTCACAATTTTATTATTACCAACCAGCCCAAACCAGGGATGTCTCAGTTTTTTATTTTGAAAATCTGGTAACCCTAATGTTGTATATTACCCCCTGAATCAACATAATGCACTTTTATTGCTTGACGCTCTAGAAGTCGAGTCACGTTGAGCAGCCCTGAAGGCAGCATTCCTTTGAGAAGTGTGACAGAATTGGGTCAAGTTTTATTGACCATGGCACTAAAAACCGTATTTACTGCAGCATTCTTACTCTTCTCCTCTTAACTAGGCCTAAACCCAGCACTAACCTTACCAAATATGTCAAAAATACAGATTCAACTTTGAGCTATTTAACTGCAACCTTTTTTCAATATCCCATTCATAAACATTGGTCATATCTTGCCTCGTTGAATGCCACGTGAGTTGAAGGACACGTAGGCCTATCCCTATGTAGGTTATTTTTCTAGTCGTCCATTTAAACAGTCTTTTATCCAGTGGTTACCCAGTGAGTGATTGTGAATGGGTAAGGGGCAGGACCAGGCTACCCACTACACACCCTGCTCTAGCTGATATTATGTAATGGCTGTTACCTAATCATTCCGAGTAGCAGGGTAAAGAAATCAGGTCAGCCTATGTCGGAAGGGGAAAAATGTCACTGCTGGGCTCCTACTGGCTGAAAGCGCTGTTCCTATTATGAAGTGCCCTCTTTATGTTAAGCCTGTTGCTTCTAGGCTGAGGAGTGATACAAGGCTAACCAATGAGAGCTGTTCAAGTCACATTTTAGGCCAACACACGTGTAGCCTCTGCATGATGCTTCCTGATGTATTGTACAAATAATATGAATCACTTTTTGTCTGTCCAAGGATGAGCAAGTCCAAGCAATGAGATTTAGCGAAGGAAAAAACAAGCTACAATATAATAATTAAAATTGTAAATGTATAGTATTTAGTATAATGTTTAGTATATCACCATTGAAAAGTTATATACTAAACAATTACCTAGTCATTACACTGATAGCGTGGATACAGTCAGGGTTTACTATTTAGTTTAGAGTATATCTGTATTCACTTTAAGCAACATAAGATTTTGTTGACTAAACTTTAAGTGGCCTGGTGCAGGAAATGTTCTTCTGTTTTGACATTTGAGATTGGCCCAGCCCAATACTGCAAAAAACATGAGGGTAGATGTGACTGTATGACTCATCATCAAACAAACAAAGGAGTGAAACAAAGTCTCATAGTAATTCAGTTACTATGAAAGAGAATGATGAATAATAAAGGTGGGATTGAAGAAGATAAGAAAGCCAAGAATAGATTTTACTTATTTAAACTGTAGCCTGTACCCTAACAGCAGGAGGGTGTCTATTATTGTGAACTGGAGAAACACATTTTAGAAAATTACTAAAACATGAGCATACATTTCCATAAATTTGATGCATTGCAACAGACGTTTAACAGATTAAATTATAAATATTTATATTAAGTGTCATGATTTCAGTGGAAAATTGAAACCAAAACAAGTTTGTACCAAGATGCAAAAATCGTACGTTATTAGTGGTTTTCAGATTTTACTTTGCCCAAAGCTAAATGCAAAAGGTAAAAGTGCAAATGTTTAACCTAAATATTTCTACCAGTGACTAAACCTTTTAACTCACTATATTATAATATTTTTATCTAATTTAACTTGCCCTGATTGTTGTCTCACAGGTGTAATCACCTACATCAGCTCGTCCAGCTCGGCCTCCAGCCCCGAGTCCTGTCACAGTGACTCCTCCAATGGCAGCTACCACTCGTCCTCGCCCCCCCACGGCTCCTCTCCCAGACGAGGCCCCGGGACCGTACCTCCTCTGAAAGGACGCGGGCCCTCCACTGCCAAGTGTGGCATCACCAGTAAGAGCCCATCAAGCCATTCTAATGTGTGGTGCAGTGATGTACAGAGAGGTCACAACATAACAACAAACTATACTTAAGAGAACAACAAAAACTGTGAAGCAGCATTAATAGAATTTACAAACAAAAACCTAAAAAATTAATTTAATCGACCATTCCCAGCAATTGTATGCCTACTATAGAATTAATGGCTTAAAAATGTACATTGTCATAGGAGTGTTGTTAACTAAACCCCAAGTGCCTGAAATTCAGCCAAACCGCAAAATACTACCAAAAAATCAATCTAAAATATTGCTAGGGTATTTAAGTTTAGGGGAAAATGGGATTGGTTCATTCTTATCTGACCCTGGGACAAAGTCTTGTCCAAAAAAAAAGTTCAAAACAAACAGCAATGGCTCAAATCTTGAGAAATATTTACTATTTGCCATTTGAACAAAGCTACCCTTGTATTTTACATTAAACCTACAATTCTTTAAGCTAATTTTACTTACAGTTGTACACTTATGTCGCTGCAATTTGATTCACAAACAATCTACATTACAACAAACTTAGAACCCTTGATTAGAACATATCGTATCAGCATTTAAAAGGTTAAAACGTACTATTATGAACCACACAGTCCAATTCCAGATATATTGCTGGAATAAAAGTGACTAATAACACTGGCATGCTGGTATGACTAGTGTCCTCATCTGAACTTGGCGCTCCACGTGTTTGTCCTCATCTGAACTCGATTTCCACGTGCGTGTCCTTATGTGAACCAAGCTCGCCCTGTGTCCTCATCTGAACTCTTATGTTTTTGTTTCCTTCTCCAGAACTGAATGGGCTGGTGCTGCCGTGTAAAGTGTGTGGAGACGTGGCTTCGGGTTTCCACTATGGCGTGCACGCATGCGAAGGATGCAAGGTATTAAACGAATTGACAAAATGGGACCCATCTATAGGTTTATTGTATGGCGACATTTGGTGAACGTCGGGGGGAATATAGCATCATCTTCAGGGCAGAGTATTTGTTATTGCTCAGGCGATGACGGTGCTGCTAAATCAAAATGACGGTAACAGGCTAGTATTCTGTGTTTTAAAGATGCTGTACATGATTTTGACAATTTTAAAACGCAAAAAACAGAACTGGCTCATTTTAAACTGTTGGCAGTGGTCCAGAATTATTCCCCACTTGCCTTATGTCTTCCAAGCATCATCATTTTTCAGCATGATGAGTTTCAAAGCACTTTTCATACATTTTTGAGGCCAGAGGGTTTTAATGGTGATGATGGTAACAATAACTAGCATGCTTATGTACACTTATTGCTTATCTCACAATAAAAAAAAATTCTAATCGGATGCAGACAGTTGCGCAGCAGACTTATTTTGATCTGTTTATACAATATATCTGTACTGGGGCTATATAACTCAAGTACAGGACCTTTAAATTGTCCATTTATGGAAATGAAACTAAGAATGAACCAGGTTTAAGAACTTATCAGCCCAGCCCTAAATCGCAACATAAAACAAGACTAGACAGGCATTACAGCCTACTCACAATAGGAACAATTGGACTGAAAATACATTAAGCTTTCTTAAAGGTGCATTATGTAACTTTTCTGGTAATTTCTTCTCTCCATCTCCAATTGCATTGCCTGGAATATCCCGTAGACATTGTGTACTCAAAAGTGCTTTCATTACCAAAAATTCCTTGAAAAACATTTTTACTTTTACATATCTCACCTGTAACTTGGCCATGTGGTATCACATACTTCTCGTCATAGAAATAGATAAGTTTAATGCCATACTGTGGAACATTTCAGGCAGGTGTCCATGGAAATGTTATTGCTTTGCCTACAGTGTTCCACATTATTATGTTCAACTTCTATCACCAGCCCAAGTCACAGGTCAGATCTGTGGAGAGGTGATCATGCTTACAGTAAGAACATTTTCTACTGTGAAACAATCCGGGGAACGCAATAACATCTTCACATAAAAGTTACCTATTAATCCACCTTGTAAGTAAATCAAAATCTTTTAAGAGTGGAAAGGAGTAATTAGCACATCAGATTTCTATAACCTTCACACGTGTGTTACTCAAGTCACCTGGATAGTGGCCTCATTAAAAGTGCACACACAGGAGCACCTGCTGGGCATTACGCCAGGCCCCAAACTATACGCCGTCAAGATGGAACCATACTTTTAACTGGGTCATCTTCATCTGCACACTTGCCTGAACTACTAGTGAATGTAGTTCAGGCTCTCTCATATTCATACGCCCCACTCAGCTCACCTCACACTGCTCCGTGGCCTAGTTACCTGCGGGGGAGAGATCCACGCAGAGAACTCCAGCATTCACAAGGGCACATTGGGAAGACAGTTATGTACTTACCAGGGCCATTGAGTCATACAGCTCCATAAGAACCTAATGAATGTACCACAGTGTGTAACAATTATAGCACGGACACTCATTCAGTTTGTAAGGCTCACGTGGAGGGATGATAATTGAAATGAACAAGCGTAAATCAGACGACCACTCAGTGCAGTACGTCAGGAGAATTATAAAAGAATTATAAAAGAGCAGAGTTGTGCAGTGGTTTAAGTGTTCGCCCCCCCCAACCGGAAGGTAACCAGTTCAAATGCAATTCACATCACACATGAGTTATGGCAGAAAGATCATTGAATGCAAAACTGCGTAATGTCTATGATTGGTTGATATGATTGGTTCATTATGGCAACCACCTCAACTATTTGGATCCTAATGCTGGGTCTGATCTCACTGTGTGTTGTCTTATGGCAGGGCTTTTTCCGGCGGAGCATCCAGCAGAACATCCAATACAAAAAGTGCCTATTGAACGACAACTGCCCCATCATGAGGATCAGCCGCAACCGCTGTCAGCAGTGCCGCTTCAAGAAGTGCCTGCTGGTGGGCATGTCCCGGGATGGTGAGTAGGCCTCTGTGCTGGGGCTCCTATTATTACTGTTATTACTATTATTAGTGGGTACTTGTTTGAGGTCTGGGCTCTGACCTGTGTGTGTGTTGGGTGTCAGCGGTGCGATTCGGGCGCATCCCAAAGAGGGAGAAGCAGCGCATGCTCCTGGAGATGCAGAGTGCCATGAACAACATGATGAACAGCGAGCTGCAGAGCCCTCCCCTCAACATCCCCAAACCTCAACCTGCCAACATAGACGCTACCTCAGACACGGGCTCCTCCCCCTCGCCCTCCTCCTCCCCCCGCTCCAACCAGTCGGACTCCAGCTCGGACCCAGAGCCCAGCGTTTCCATGGACACCAGCTCCGGCTCCCCCAGTGCGTCGGACAGTGGGGAGGAGGAGGTGATCGGGTCAGTGACTCGCGCCCACCAGGAGACCTTCATGTACAACCAGGAGGCAACACCCCCTGACAACAGCATGACCAATCACAGAGTGGAGCAGCACCAGAACAACTGGAACCACCACAACAACCTGGTCACCATGGAAACTCAGCCAAACCAGGACACCAATGCCTGTCCTTTCAAAGTGCCCCAGAGCAGCTTGGGCCCCTGCCCGGCCCCTGAGGGCCCCGTACACAGGGCATACGGCCGCCCTGTGTGGAGGGGGGGCACCCGGATGCACCTGGTAAGAGACCCGGGTCCATAAGGGTCATGTAACAGTCTTTGTGATTGTGCTGAGTCTCACACTGACAGTCTTCTGTCTGTGTCCACAGGTGTGTCCCATGAACTTGTCCCCTCACGTGGACCCGGACAAGTCGGGCCCGTCGGTGTGGGAGGAGTTCTCTCACAGCTTCACTCCTGCTGTCAGGGAGGTGGTGGAGTTCGCCAAGAAGATCCCCGGCTTCAGAGAGCTGTCCCAGCACGACCAGGTCAGCCTGCTCAAGGCTGGCACCTTCGAGGTATGGCAACATACACACTGTGTCCTCACACTGCTCTGCACTACACTCTACATGTGCGTATTTAGTAAGCGCCAATTACCTTTATAGGACAGAGTAAGCATTGGCCAAACAAGAGTTCGGCAAGATTTAAAGGGGTTTTAACCCTTTGTCTCTGCGGGTCTGTGGTATGTACTGGACCAGGTGAGCCATTCAGGTGCCTGCAGTCGTGTATGTTGAGTTTCAAACACTGGTACCAGTTTAACACTAACACAGAGAATGTAGTGTGACTCTCTACATCCCCTAGTGCAGCCTGTACTATAGTCTGTTCTGTTTGGATGTGTTCAGGTGCTGGTGGTGCGCTTCGCCTCCCTATTTGATGTGAGGGAGCGCACGGTCACCTTCCTGGGGGGTAAGAAGTACAGCGTGGACTGCCTGAGAGCTATGGGGGCTGGAGACCTCCTCAACTCCATGTTTGACTTTAGCGAGAAGCTCATGAACCTGGGCCTGAGCGACGAGGAGATGAGCCTCTTCACTGCTGTGGTCTTGGTCTCAGCAGGTACATCTCCAAATACTATCTGAAAATACTAATACTAATCTTTAACTTTTACTACTACTTACAACCTGTCTGTTTGTCTGTTATGGACTTAATCAATCAGTCAATACAACTTCACCCATCAGCCGACTGGAGGGCAGCAGGTCACCCACGCAGTCTGACCAATTCACATTGTTTATGGCTGATTTTTAGGAAGAACAACCAAATCAATGTGCCAATTCACAAATCTGAAAATATTAAAAAGGATGTATTGTAATATTTAAAAATATTTAGTAACTATATATATGCTCACACTAACATATTCAAGTAAAACAGTGGCACAGTTGGTCAGTATAGTAATTAGCCACCAACCAGAGAGTAGCTGGTTCAAATCTTTAAATTTTTAAAGAACATGTGATATGTGATGTGATAGAACATGTGATATGCATAATTTACTTTTTAGGAAGAACTCAGCCTTAATATGTAGGTTTGTGTGTTAAACATGCGTGAAACAAAACAAAACACAATTCTGAGTATGTTTGTGGTGAGGAAACAACATTAAAACATACTGTAGATCAGAAAATACCACCAATTTACCATGCAGTTAGTTCATGGTAAAAAAAAATGGAAGTGGTCAAAAAGTAGTGAATAAATGAAAAGAAAGCAATTTAAACCTAATCTGACTTTGTCCACCTTCTCCCCGTGTGTTGCAGATCGCTCGGGCATAGAGAACGTGAACTCTGTGGAGGCTCTGCAAGAGACGCTGATCCGCGCGCTCCGAAGCCTTATCACCAAGAATCACCCCAACGAGGCGGCCATCTTTACCAAACTGCTGCTCAAACTGCCCGACCTGCGCTCGCTGAACAACATGCACTCAGAGCAGCTGCTAGCGTTCAAGGTCCATTCCTGAGTCGTCTCGTACCTCCCTCCTCCTTCTCCTCCTCCCTCTAGAGACTGACGCGGAACACTGTAGGACCAGAGCCGGACCAGGGAGGGACCACCTTTTAGTAGTAGATCTTGGTCCGTAAAACTCTGACGCGAAACGGGGGAACAAACTGTTGAAAATTCAATCGTACTGTAGGGAGAATGATGTGTACAGATGAGACGCAGCGATTGATGTGTATGTGTTTGTGTTTGTGTGTTGGAGCGGGCGCCGTGTTTCCAGCCAGAGGTACGGGAAGTGCTAATATGTACAGAGAGGGTGACCCGATGTCCCTATTTACCCGGGACAGTCCCTGTTTTGATCCCTGTGTCCCCTGTCCCAGCAGATTTATCCAGAACCATTGATTTGTCCCAGTTTTATACAAGAAATGTCCCAGGTCTCCCTATTTTTTACCAATATGATACCTGCCAAAAGCAAAAGGAGGCATAAAATACAAGAAAAGCTGCTTAAAAATGACCAAAACACAAAGAAAATCTGACTATACTGTCTCACATGTTAGTCATGAGTGGTCTCTGCAGAATAATTTTCCTTAATTACACACTCGTTCTACAATTTTATTATTATCAACCACCAAAAAACTGGAGTCCCAGTTTTTTATTTTGAAATTCTGGTCACTGTAGATACAGAGGAAATGGAGATGGTTGACTATCCTTGGATTTGGATACTGAAAAGTTGAGTTTAACTTGTTGCACTATTTTGTTTTGGTAAATGTGTACTATTTGGATTAAAAAAAACATAAATATTAAAACAAACAATAAATTGGTTAATAGTAGAACTTAAGAAAATATATTCTGTGCTTAATTCGAAGGCCTACTTTTAAAAAAAGAGTACATTTCATAGTTAAGCCTCCTCATTGTCTGAAAAAGCAGCTATTATTTCTAAAGATATTTTTGAAGCGCAGCGTACCCTACCTCTGGATGGAAAACCCGGCTCCAGTGTTTTGAAACTATACAAACAATGGAAGCACTTTCCTTTAGAGTGTAGCCTGGTGTCTCTGCATTCATAGTGCAATATGTGACTGCTTTGTAAACTAAAAAGAATGAATTGTCAAGTCCAAACTTCACCACAACCCTTTGCTTTTTTTCTTATTCGTTGGACACTGGCTAAACAATAGGGAGTCTTCTTTACTGAAAATGTAGAAAACAATTAGAATACTGCAGTAATGTTAACAAGATATTCTGATATGAATTTCAGTGATGCAATTGTGTTGTATTTTTTATTTCTTGTTTACCTTTTAAGTTATTCGGGCATTGCGACAAATCAAAATGACCGCTTTTCCACTCATGGACCAGTGGAGATGGACGCTGAATCGATGGAATCTTAATTATCTTGTTTTGAAAATTTGAGTACATGTGTATTTTTTTTCTACTGTAAATTCAGATTTTGTTTGTCCTGACCGGGAATGCAGTCTGCGGAGTGTCCATTTGCGCTCCTACTGCCACATTTTAACATCCCAAAAACTATTGCAGGCTCCAGCTACACCCGTTTGCTTGAAAACCTTTTGTACAGAATGTATAGTATAGAATTACGAATAGAAGCGCTATATGAATAAATAAACTATGATTGTACTTTCACTGATTGTAGTTGAATTAAGCTACAGTGTGAGTGAGTTGCCGCCGGTGCATTTGTCGCGTTGAAATTTTGGGACTCTTTGGTGGAATGTGCGGATATCCAGAGCTTCTAACGTCGTGCTCATGTGTTTCTGTTCTCCTCTGTCAAAGGATTGCAGTATGCATAGATTTCTATATGAAGAGACGTGTTATCAGACAGTACTGTATAGATAAATATATCGACAAATAAATTTTATAAATGCAAAGTGTGGTGTGTGTTTTTTTAAATAAGCACTTTTTTTCTTACACTCGTTAATACAGGCTCTAGTCTATCTTAATTCACCCCCCTCATGTGATACAATAGTGTATCAAAGTTAGAAGGGAAGCAGATTTGATACTGTCCAACATATAGAAATTTCTCTTCAGTTGACACCTTTATTATCGCTTCCTGAGGTTAAATCTTTGCAATATGCTACAATGAAAAGGCTACCTGTCAGCATATTACATTTAAATGGACCAAATAAACACATTTTGTTAATAGTTAAAGATCCCATATTACACATTAACTCTTGTGGGCTTTTAGCCATGTTATAGTGTTCTTATGTCATCAAAACAGACCTGGAGTTGTGTTTTGTTTTAGTCACATGTTTATTAATCTGTCTACATGTCCAAATGCTCTGTTCCACCATGTGATGTCCGTACAGAGGTGCAATTCCAAGCCTGAAATCTACTATGGTGTTTAAAACCACAGTGGAGCACTTACTGCATTGCCACGTGACATCACAAAGTTGAACAGAGTGTTTTAAGTTTGAGAGAAAAACTCTGCCTAAATATGCAGAATTTTTCTGTGTTAAACGTGTTAATGAAACACAACAGGTATGTTTTTGATAAGGAAACAACATTATAACATCATCAAAAAAGAGCCCTTTAAGGATTAAATCAATCTATAATAAAAACTAAAAGCATCCTTGCAAATGTGGCGGCAGTGTAATGACTATTAAAGCACATGTGGCGCTGACAATGTAACAAGAGAAACTGTTGTCGCCTTTCAGTGGATTAAACCTCTCCAGCAGATGGCGCCACTCTCTGAAGGCTGAAAGTCTGGACTGTGGATACATACAGCCTTTTTCATGAATTGTTATTGCTAATACCTTTTATTACCAACATTGTTATAGGGACTAACACAGCTTTTGGCACGTGCTGTAAAATAGATCAATGTTAAATAATTTGCTGTTAATTAGGAAGGAGTTTCTTATACAGCCACAAGAGGGCGCTCATGCCTGAAGCCAGAAGATGACACTGGGACTTTTTAGGTCATTACATCATTTTTTACCCTTACTCTGCTGCAGAATTAGGTTTCACAAAAATTATAAGCTCCAGCATTTATCGATTATGTTTGGATCATATTCAAAAACAGTACATTTTCTATAAGGTAACAGATCTATCAGGCCCTGAAATGCTGGCATCATCAAATATTAGCACAAGCCACAACCTACTGACCTTACATTTACCAAACTTGTCCTCGTGTATTTCAGCTAAATTAGTCTTGCCCCAGTACAGATACCCTATAGCTATAGCCTATTTTATAAACAGCTCTCGAGGGCAAAATAAGTCCGTTGTGGCTGTCTGCTTTATTGCCGATTAAGGAAGTGCACATTAGCATGCTATTTGTTATTAGCTTTACCATCACAGCAAAACTGCAATGGTGTCTGAGAGCTGTGAAAATGTCCCTGATGTCTCTATTTTGGACCAGTCTGATTCCTGTAAACAACAGTAAACAGAGGCATAAAGTGGCATTTGTTTAGGTAAAATACAGAAAAGCTGCTTAAAAATGACCAAAACACAAATAAAATGTGACTATACTGAGTCACGTTAGTCTTAAATGGGCCGGGTGCAGCACATTTCCTTAATTATGAACTCGTTTAACAATTTTATTATTACCAACCACCACAAACCGGGTGTGTTTTATTTTGAAAATCTGGTCACCTACTCGTCACCTTTAGCATCATATTGCTAATAGCCGATGCTTGAAATGAGCGATTAACAAAACAAAAAAAAAAACAAAAAACAAAAAACTAAACAAAAAAACAAACAACATTTCTCAAAACCATCTTTATTCTCAACATCCAGTTCACATTAGCGTCATTCACTCATTCATCATCACGAGTCAAAATTCTCAAAAGTCTTCCACATTCAGTCGGGACGCCGCCCTGAGTCGACTGATTGGCGGACAGCGCTCCCCAGTCGAAGTGAGTGCAAGGCGCTGGATTTTGGACTATTTTGCATTTAGTTTTTCGGTTTCGCTAACTAGCACAAAGCCCAGTCTGGACACACAGTTCTCACGGCTGTCTCTCTTTGTTTTCCAGTGGGTGATGAACGGAGCTGAACGAGGAGACACTCAAGCACACGAGGAGAGAAGTCGGTGTTGACGTGAATGAATTTCCCCTAAATAAATGCTGGTATTTTATGTGTCATTGTGCTGCTTATAGTTAGTGAAGTCCGACTACTGGAATACTTGGTTTTCAACTCTTGCTACTTGGTATTAGAGCAAGTTTTTATTCATTTTTTTAATTTTAACGCTTTGCAAAACATATTATGCTAACAACATCCGTAAAAAAAATCTGCAGTCTGAAAATATACATCCATATTCCGTTGTATGGTAAAATAGCTTTTCTTTGCAACTGAGAAACCAAGTGTAAAAGTGGGAGGGGAAAATGGCACTGAGTGAAACCTGGCGTGGGGCATTGATCCTTTTACGCACAATAATGATATGGCCATGTTCGCATAAATAAATAGGATAATCCAGTTTAACATTTTTTCTCGTAAAAATTTTCACCTTAACACTATGATTTCAAACTAGTCATAAAACCATTTGACATTATAAGTAATATATCTATATGCTCAATAAGAAGCCATTAAGCAAGACATTCCATAAACTACGTTCATGTTATTGTGCACTATTTGTATGGGTCAAACTAGTCTATTTGCATACGTCAGAATTAAAGGGGCTGTACCTGATTTGAATTTATTATTGTTGATAAATGCTCTTCACATCATGTATTGTTTGGTAAAAGATGCTAAATAATACAAATTTGGTGTAAACTGACTGTAAATTTATACAGTCAGTATATTTATTTTACATAGATTTTTTTCTAGGTAATGACAATAACAGGCCACCTTTTTTTAATGCAATCAGGTGCGTTGTTAATAAATCCATGGGAAATTGCCTGAAACTAACCCAGACACTTAATGGGCTCTGTTCACGTTTATGTCACAAAACTGGCAGACGTGTGAAAACATGTGGATGACGACTTCCGTTGGGCTCTGTTGGCGATAGTAACTCTGACTAAATCTGGGAAGCTGAGAAAATGGCCTGGTTTTCTTCATCTAGATGTCATTGTATTATTTCTTTTCTCCTTTTATAAATTGGCTCTCTATTTGTGTATTATAATTTGTCTAATTTAATAAAAAAAAAAAAAAGCTTTGGCAGGTTGTGAAGACCCATAAAACTGTAATAAAAATGTTATTATAGATCCATGTGCAGACTGCTGCTGCTGAATCCATAGTTTTGTCATATGCCCAGTGTCGGTAACTACACCAAAGTCGTCATCCGCATGTTTCCAAACGTCTTCTGGTAAGTGTCATGGGTGACATAATAATCTGATAGTTAGCAGAGACTATATGGAAAAAGCGCATGCCACTATCCCAGACAGCTGTTTCTGATTCAGGGTGGCAAAATGTACTAAGTGGACGGTGCTAAAAGTTCAAACTACTCATGGTTTGAAATCAGGTACAGGCACTTTAAGTACAGCAGCAGTCAACCTCAACTCGCTGTCTTTGTTTGAACATAATGATTAAAGATAAATATATAATACAAATTAATGATCAATGCTTTTTTTGTCAGTTACAGCCTATGGTTTGTAATCTTTATGTTGCTTTGACTCCCAGGATGGCCCTTGTTCTGCATGTGGAGTTTTCCAGGAACCTAAATCATTCTAAAAAGTAGAGGAACATCATGTGCTAACATGAGCTAGCTCCAGGTTCTTGTTTTCTGCGTCTGAGGTAGAGGAGTGTGCCCAGATAAATGAGCGGCTATTGGTGAACAGATCTGAACGGCTCTTGTTGGTCAGAATAATACAGATATGTTCAGACTGTCAGCATCAATAGTCATATGGCAATTAGCATGATGAGTACTACTGTGACAGCTTTATTGAGCTCCTGAGTCTAGTCTACGGTCTGAAAAGAGGTAAGTGTGGGTTATGCGCTAAAAGTGTATCTATTGAGTAACTGAGAGTATTGTATACTGTCACAGGTGCATCAGCTCAGCTAACATGCTACACACAGGTCTCGAGATGCAGTGAAAACCAGAGACGACCTGATTTAGTTCCTGAGGTTAGTTCCTGGGACTTTTGGTCCAAAGGGCCACTGAGATAATGAAACATGTATCCTACATTTGAACAAGCGTAGAGATCAAGTTTGCAGGCGCTATTGTTAATGATGCTTAATTTTTATTCATTTTATTTGTGGCAATAACACAAATCATTAACACTGACCTCTGATTGGCTACTGACTGACAACCACAGCTTTGTTAATACATGTACTAAGACTAAGCTGGCACAATCCATTCATATTTGAATCATTTTAAATATTTTTTATACAATATTTTAGTGTATAAATGCCATTTACTGCCTTTAAGCATTGAATGCTCATATTGTTTTCAGACCATAAGTAAGACAATTAGACCATGGAGGACACCATTAGTGGGAAACTGTCATATCTACATAACAAAACTGCATATAATCATTATTTTTTCCACTTTGAGAATCTTGTGGCCTCACATGCATTGGAAGAGATATGAAGCTGCAAATATAATTTACCAATTTAATTGCAACTTTATTCCATTTAATTATATAAAATGTCTGGATAATATTTAAGATTAATATAAAAAAATCACACAAATTGGAGTCAATTACTTATAATAGCCTAACATTTGATTGCTTTTCCATAAGTAAAATATGTAAGCTACTCATGGAGCTAAACAGTAACTGCCCACCCCTTGGCTCTGTAAGTGCATTTTCTCATACATTTTTCCCACAGACTCCCCCCTGAAACTTCATAAACAGCTAAGTTATTAAAGCGTTTCACAGAATCTTGTTTTAGATGTGCTTTTTGGATTTAAAACAACTTATGTTAGGGTGATAGTAGTCACTATGTAGCTGATTAAGCTCTATTCATTTAAATCTCAAACTCAATATTTGAATTTTTCAATCAAAAGTTTGTTACTACCATGTTTTGATCAACCAGTCAGCAACCAGCACAGAGGTCATCCAGAGGTGGAGTAAACTTGTGCAGCACACTTCTTGCGGCTCCTCTAAGACCTTGTGTAATAATAACAAGCGGCTCAGACTCAGGCTTTGACGACTCCTGTAAACACGCTAACATCTGAAGAAGCTAAACTCAGATGTCCGTAAACTGATCAATGCCCCCTCCGCCAGGTGCCCCATGCAGGTGCCCCCCCCCCCCCTCCCCCACCCGCCTCTCTCCCTCTGATTGTCTGTGCATTTATTTAGTCTGTACAGGAGGTGTGTGTACGTGAGGTCCGGCTCGTTCAAACACTGCAGCGAAATCTATTGCTTGGATTAAAAGGCATCACTTCACAGAAAAGGAGAAAGAAAGCAAGTAGTGTGAGCGACATTTTACAAAGCCCAAGGTTGTCACATTGCATACGGCGAGATCATACAGAAAAACAAATTAAAACAAAGGAGCAAAACAGCGAAAGGAAAAGCTACCGTTTGACAAAGTTTCCCAGCGTCATTGCCAGCATGTGTTGAATGACAAATTACACATTTGAGTTTTTCATCTTTTTGGCCACAGTCTCCCACCAGGACGTCACAGTGGTGGGCTCAGATTTGAACATAATGGAAAACAATAAGTACGCCGAATGAACTAACGTTTCTGTGTATACCTTCGACATGATATTATTGATAGGCAAGACAACAGCAACTTTTTCATCTCATACTCAGTTATAAGGAGACATGTTATGGTAAATCACTTATTGCTGGGTTTCAGATGACATTACGACAGGGGTCTCCAACCTATAGCTCAGGACCTACTGGTAGCTCGCTACCCCCTTTCAAGTAGCTCACCAAGGGATTTCCGAATTACACATATTGTGCTGAATAGTCTAATTTGATTAATAAAATGCCTATTACCATTATGCATGTATCATTCTGATGCCTAACTTTGTGCCCTACTATGAATAATAGTTTATGTTTTATAGGCATCTAACGGTTCCCTAATTCTTGCCCTGGTTCTTATATTTACTCAGTTTCTTGTGACTGCTAAAACTAGTAGCTCTCTGGCATTTTTGTTTTGTAAAGGTAACTCACCGGAGTAAAAAGGTTGGAGACTCCTGTATTATGACATTCCATAGGCCCATAATATTTAATGCAGATGGGGTGCAGATAAAATGTATTAAGATTTTTGTTTTTCTTGTAATACATTGAGGTCTAGGGTCCAGTCACTGAATGAATTACCTAACAAAATAAAATGTAATCAATAGGGATGATATCTCTCTAAAATCTCAAAACCACCAATCTAAAACGCTGGGTCTCAACCACGAAATAAAAAAAAAGTACATATGTACAAATTTTTGTGAAATTGGGTCAAATCACTACAGCTTCTCAAATACAATTACGCTTTACACATTTTTACATTTTTCCTTACCTCCTCAAGCCTCAATTCATTATCTGTGGAGGCCCAGAGTCGGTTTTGCCTTTTAAAAATGTTTTTCCATATTATGTCTCCTCTCCTCTAATGTCTCATTTAATATTTTTATAGATGGGAATTTTAGGCAGGACAGAAAAATTAAACCAGTTAAATAATGGACAAATTGTTGATACATTTTGCATAGACCTAAAATATTTTCCTTTATCATGATTCCATAATCTGTAAAAATGTATTTGAGATTCCTTCATAGAAACAAACACTTTGTCTATCAATAATATCCAACCCATGAAGTTTTGTGTATTTGCAATACTGCTGTAAAACATTTGAATGCATTTTAAATTATTACAGATCCAAACCCATGTAGCACCATGACATCACTTAGCATGACCCCTGTGCTTGAGTAGTTGTAGAAAAAAACAAACAAAACAAACAAAAAACACATGAATGATTTGTGTTGCGACGACAGACACGACGCGACCTTGATATAACTTTGCAAGCATCTCGGCCTGACAAGTCCTCTGAGTGTGATGGCGCTTCCACAGCCTGCAGGGGGCACACACACAGCTCTCGGATTTTGGCACGGCATGTTTCATTGTCACAGAAAGAACAGAGCGCAAGACTGAATGATTGTCTTTTTCCTGACATCGGAGTCTTTTATGTGCTTTAAATAGTGCTCAGAATGCTCACAATGTCACTTTACCGCCTTTTTGTTTTCCAGCCTGTTGCTAGTTGTCGTCGGCCGGGATACAGATTTTATGCAACGTGAGCAGATGGAGAGGTGACTCATTTATCACGCCTTTCAGTAATGGAGCGGTTATACAGTCTAATGCAACACTGCTCTAGTATCTGAGATCTCTTAGCAGTTAGCGAAGCACACAGCAACTCTCCCGGTTACTTCTTTTGTGTTATGATTCTGTGGCTGTGTCCAAAATCACTTGTTCAATTTCACCAACAGAATTTGAGGATTCATGACTATATTTCGATGTAATTTTAATGTAATAAGTTTTATGTCATGATGAGAGATGCTAGACAGGCATTGCTGGTTTAATTAGTAAGAAGAAGAGGCGTCAATCTTGTTTATTTACATTACTTGTTATTCGTTAAGAGGTATGTAACTTTTCTGGTGGAGGGAGCAAATGTATCTGTCTCTACGGAAACGAGCAGGTGGCATTTCCAGGCGACATTACAGGCCAGATCTGTGGATACTGAGCCGATAATCCCTCTCACAGTGATAATGCTGATTTTTCAGTGTACTTTGGATCAATAGAAACTTATTTTTTATTTTAATTGAATTCAATATACCGTATTTTTCGGACTATAATTCGCACTTTTTTTTTTTTTTTTTGGAAAGCGGGGATGGAGAACACAGCTTCACAGGAACCAGACAGGAGCGCCATGTAACTTTCTTGGAAGTCATTGGATGAACTGACAAAAAGCCTGAACTTCAGTGACAACCGAAACCATCCTGTCGGGATTCAGAAAGGCCACAATAATTCTAACAGGAACTGATGCTGAGTCTGACGACAGCTACACGGAAGAGGAAGGGGTGCTCCGTTTATGTCATGGATCTATTGTTTATCTCCGGAAGTCATGGAGTTGCGCAGAAGTGACACCGAGGACGAAGAATTCAATGGATTTAGTGATTTGGAGTGAGACTGAGTTTGGTAAACTTATGTTCTGTTGTTTATGCTAAAATTATCTGAATAACTGTTAATATGTTATGTTAACATATTAATGCCTATTCAGCCCGTTGTTCTCTATTCTGTTATTACTATAACTTGCCTTTCAAGACGAAATGCCGGTTCCTGGTCTCTGATTTTATGAAATACATTTCCCCAAAAAGTGTGAATTATAGTGCGGTGCAACTTATATATGTTTTTTACTCCTTCATTATGCATTTTTTGGCTGTTGCGACTTATAGTCTGGAAAATACGGTAGATACATTTAATTCTATAGAATTCTCCATGAAGACAAATAGTTGCTGGACTCCACACCAGAAAAGTGACAGTGCACCTTTAAAATGACTTATATACTGTACATATTTGACTAAGCTATGGCGAGTGGTTGGGTCTAATTGTAGCTCCATGGTTCAGAGAGTGGGGCAGACAGCAGGAAGAGCTGGAGGTAGCAAAGTTTAAGTTAAAGTTCTCTTTGGACATAATGAGGAGTACTTATGATTTCATAGCCACGAGGAATAACAGAGGGAGAGTGAAAATGGGTAAAATGAAAACTTTAAGCTGCCGGGCATGAGGCAAAGAGGGATATGAGGATGTTGTGAAGAACGTTTTTTTTTTCCTTCTTTTTTTTATATTATAACACAAGACAGTATTATACGTATTAGGGATGGGACAAGGTGATTAAAATTACCAAGATTCTGCACGTGTGAAGATGAGATTTTCTTTTTGGATTGGATAAAATAGGGTTGCATGTTGGTGAGTTACATCTCTTAATGTTCCAAAAAGTAGAACTAGAATGGCAGCAAAAAAGATTACATTAAAAAAAAAAATGAATTGCATAATTTATATTTTACAACTTATGTTAAAATCTTGTTCTGGGTGACAGAATCTTGTATCTTATCCCTTTTCTAATGTGTATGGAGATGATTTCCAGTAGCAATCCTGGATGAGAGCAAACCATCAATGAAACTTAGCTGAGCAAAAAATGAATGTTCAAAGATACCACAACAGAAATAGTCTAATGTAGGAACAAGTGAATTTGGACACAACATTCAATCAAGTCCATAGTTACGAGTCAATGAGGCTTGGTTCATTTGTTGAGAATTGTACGGTTATGTAGTGTTAACAGTGCATGCATTGAACAGAATCTAACATGCGCATTGATAACGGACTGTCTAACTTTGAACATTTAATTTTGAGATCCATAGTGACCTGTGTATTACTGTACTGAGGCTTAAGTGAGGGTTGACTGGTTTCCGAGGATACATTGTACTGGTGCGAAACGACATCAAATTTGCATTCACAGAGTTGTAGTATATGTAACGGTTATTAACCAACAGTAAGCAGGCGGGAAAGAGATTTGGTTGCTAGAAATTAGTAACTTGAGCAGCCATTTTAAAATCGAAATTGCATGGTTTCTAGTATGTGTCTAAAAATCACCAAAAAATACACCGACTGTACAATCATGGACGCACAAAAAAAACTATTTTCAAATCCGAGGTGTGAGAGGTTATATCTGCAATAACGAAAAACAAACCGGTAAAACAAAAAGACGACAAAACAAGTGCTATTCACATGTACCCGCTCTGTAGGGAATGGTTGGTTGACCAGAGAGCTACTCCTCTACTCTACGGAATGAAGTCAGTAGTGCTCAGAGTGGAGAGTTGGGGCGGTTTGCTGGTTCCATCCGTACAGACAGACACATGCACACACACACAAAGGCCAGGCCAGCGCCCCCTGCTGGTCAGTCTTCAAACACCTCCAGGAACAGAGGGGGGAACAGCTCGTTGGGACACTCCACTTTCATGTGGAGGAAGCGCGAGGCGTGGCAGGCACCGATCATGCGCAAGTCTGTCACCTTCATTAGCAGCTTGGGCCAGAAGTGGGCCAGTTTATGTTTGCGGTAGTTGATGTAATGTTCGAAGGCCAGGAGGAACTCCTCCTGACAGCGCTCGATCCGGTCAGTGCTGCTCAGGCCCGGTCGATCTGGGGAGAAAATCAGGTTCATTCATATGCTTATTTTAAAGTTGTTTTTGGGATCTTTTCTACACTCTGGAGTAGGGCTAGGCAATATGATCATGATTTTATTTTATTTTTTCATATTGATTGATTCCAAATTTCAATTCTATTTTAATTACTTCTGAAAACAAATAAAATCTTTTTCAATATACATTTTCTGAACATAAGCAATAGAAACTTGCTAGACAAAAAAACTCACTTTTTAATGTCTGAATAGCAAACCACATGCTTTTACTGCCACAGAATTAGCTGTAGACCTAGTCCAATGAGCTTCATTTGGTCTTCTGATAATTTGTGTTATTAGGTTCTTTTTTCAGACCAAGAGTTTGTTTTCATACAGTTTTGACTGCTCACTAGCGCTCTTCCTCAGAGTGGTCACATGATGTTGCTGTGACTGTCCAGTTAGCTGATTTATACAGGTTTTGTTGCTGTCTTCCTACAGTTGGAGGCAGGATGACAGCGCCATCTGCAGGACAGTATCCCAGGTGTGTGAGAGTAAAGAAGTCCCCCTGTAGATGGCGCTGTGTTCCTGCATCCACCGGTAGACAGCGCCAAAATTTGTATAAATCAGCTGATCGAACATGTCACAGCAACATCAAGTGACGACTCTGAGGTAGACCGCTAGTGAGCAGTTGAAACTGTCAGGTATTTTTTCATACTTCTTACATACGTCTGGAAAAAAACCCCAATAACATAACTGTAGACCTCTTAAAAATAAAACAAAACCAAACAAGAAAATCACTATTAGAAAATAGAAATGACAAAATCTTTATCTCAATTCCAATTTCATTAATTCTGCAGTCCTACTCTAGGACAGTTTTGTCCTGAATTTAATATTTATTTATATGATAGAAGTAATATTCTTTATCTACTTTTACAGATAGACAATGAAGAACTATGAACTATGACCCAGTACGAATCACAATACAAATCAGTAGATCCATAAAATAAAATTATACTCTTAAGTTGTCAGATTTTCTTTTGGAAAGTCTGTTTATGTCTGTTTATGAATTAAAGCCATATTGTTAACGTAAAGTGCTATTGTTTTATCCCAATATTTTTTTTGCCACTTTGTTGTTAATGCATTATAGAAGTTTAACATCTAAAGCTATAATCAATAAAATACACAAAAATGACAGTGGGAGCATGTCTTATTCATCACATATTAGTTGTGCCTGGTATTGATCCATGTTAGCAGCAGTTATTGATGCACAGACTGCCACTGTAACTGTGAGGACAGATGGGCCAGAGACTCATTGTAGTATTGATCTGTGCGAGGTGCTGCTCACTCCATTGATTGAGGTTACTACTGTACAAACTGTGCTACGCCCCAGCCCAGCCTGTCATTGATTAAAGCAGACTTACTATGGATTTCAGGTCAGACTATGTACTGTACTGTATAGTTAAGCTGCATATGGTTAAGCTGTGTATGAAGATGTTGCTGTCCTAATTAACACTGGGTTAGGGGAATAAGAGCTGTAGTACTTTGCCATGCTAGATCCCCTTTACTGTAAAGTGCTAGAGTAAAAAACTTGACATGGTTTATTTATGATTAACTTTTTAAGTGTACCGTAATTTCATTGTAAATAAGAGCATGCATTGCGGTTTTTAAACATTATTTTAATAGTACCACAATGTAAAAATAATAAAAAAAAGTGTGCTCCAATCTGCAAATAGCAAATCTGTTCTCTCTTTTTTTTTTACTCAGTATGCAGACTCAACTTTAATTTCATGTCTCTATCTAGCAGCACTGTAAGGTTTAATTATACCTGTGTTTAATTACAAGGAACATCATTAAAATTTTGTTACCTCCACAAATTGTAACATGTATCACTTCTTCCCATTTGCAGACAAATTATTAAAAGCACACTGTGTAAGTTTTTACTTGTTTGTCTCTGTGATGATGTTGTTGACTTTGAATGTTCCACAGTATGGCAGGGAACTCATCTAGAATAATATTTAATTGTGGGTGTTTTTACTGTTCAAAATTATCCTGAAAAAAAAAAAAAAACATGCAACAACATAGTTGCCACAGATCTGATTTGTAATTTGGTCTTGTGGCCTCACCTGCTTGTTCTCATGAGATAGATATAGACGGATTATGTGTTTATCTAAGTGCAGAAAGTGCCGCTGTCTGTGCGGTTTACATGAAGTTGTAGTGTTAGTTAGTGGTGTTGTCAGCGCACTAAAACACTTTATCACTGTATGATAAAATAAGTAATAAATAAGTAAAAGCTAAATTAACATTCGTGACTGGGATACGTGACCCATACGCATTATATGCAGGTGAGTGCATAAATGATGAGAAGAAATGTCTAAAACTTCAGTAGCCAAACATCCACTCATACCCCCGGGAGAGCCTGAAATCTGCTGAAATCCTACAAGACACTGACAGGATACCAGACAGGACAGCAGTTCTTTCTGCAGGAGATTTGCAGCAGAGCGTGACGTGATGTAGTCTGATAATCCTTCTATATGTAATGCCATATAGTGGAGCCTTCTAGGCAAACGAATAACATCTCCATGGAGACAAGCAGGTGTGTAACCCTGCATCAGAAATGTTAGATAGAAGACATCTGTAGATTTCCCATATTTTCATATTTTATCTACACTGCAAATAATAACATCTAGGAAACTTTTTTTTTCTTTCTTTTTAGTACAAAAGCTCTTACTCCACTGGTAGATAATTTTTCTTGCCAAGTCAAACCTACTAAAATCAAAACAATATAGTTTTTATTCAACAAATTTCAACTTTCAATACAATTTATCAACCACATACTGTATATTTTACTATCTAGCTCTATTCGTGTTGTGTCTCACCCGACGAGAGGAGGATGACGGCCTGCAGCAGAGCCACCTCCGAGTCGTCCAGGTTGAAGGAGGAGAGGGACACGCCCAGGTCAAAGATGGCATCTGACACCACACCCAGCCCGCCGTTCTTTAGCTGGCCCCGCGTCACCGCCATCTCGCCGTTCAGCGTCAGCGTCTCACTCTCCGGGTCGTACCGCACGGCCGCTCGCAGAGACATGATCTCCATGCAGCACCCTTTCAACAGGATGATCTGGTCTTCACAAGGCAGCTGTCCCACAGAAATGCCAGGCCAGTTAGCAAGACAGCACATGTGTGTTATAGGTCCAAATCAGATCAACTTCAGAGACAGATGTGTTGAGAACATGCTTGTAGACTGTATAAAATTTTGAGCCACATTTCATATTAGAAATAGGAAATGATTTACGGATCAAATAGCAAACTATTAGCAATAGCAAACTAAAAACACCAGGGTCATGTAGGGCGGCTAGTGAAGAGGATTTGTAAACAGATAAACTCCCAAAGCGAAGTAATCCACTGTCAGTATTGAGCTATCTCTAGCATCTGTAGCTAATGTCAAGTATGGCTATATTGCATCCTATGTTATAAAAGAATATTCCCTGTACAAAAGAAGCCCTTACCTCACAGAACATAGGCAGTTTTTTGGCAAAGTCCACCACTCGGGTTATGGCAGGGGTGATTATTTTTGTAAACTGACTGAAGGCTTCTATGTCCACTTTGTTTCCCTCAGGAGGATTTACCATCGACGCATGACCAATATCCTCTGGCTGCAGGCACACAGAACACTTGTTAGTTATGGCACATTATGACAACACTAGGCCTGTCACGATAAATAATATATCAACTTTTTGGTCAGTAGATGACAACTGTCAATATTTATTATATGTACCTTTTTATGTACTATTGGGAAATGTTTGGTTATTTTTTAATGTAATATCATAAGATTTGAGCTGTAGAAGGCTGAATTAATCACATGCATGACTCATTATAGACAAACAAATTACTTAAGCGTCACATTCTGCTATTTATTTATTGCAGCTAATGCTTTTAACAATATTTTACATAAAAAAAATGGGGGGGGGGGTTGTTGTTTGGTTTCAATAATATTCTTTATATGTCGTATATTTACTTCAGCAACATATCGCACGTCAAAATGATCGTGACAGGCCTAGAGAACACATCATAGATAAAGAATGACTTTCAAGCATTCATATCTTACCTTATCGTCCTTCACCCCTGCTGCACTCTGGTCAGGAGTATAGAATAAATTACATGTTATTTCATTTAGAAGCATAGCTTCCTCGACCTGTTGGATAATCAACAGGAATAGTGAAGTTTCAATGAAGAACCCGTGTCAACTTAAAGAAAACAAGTTAAGCTGAAGACAAATGAGAGAGAGAGAGAGAGCATTGAGAGAAAGAGTAGCACATCAGCAGGGTTTCCATAGCAACAAACAGGCGGGCCTATTCAACTGGCCCAAACTAACGCGAGCAGATTAAATCTTTTAAAATGATGCTAATAATATTGAGTCAATATAACTGGACTCTTGTCTCCCATACCTTTGCTGTAGGTATGGGTGAGAAAGTCAATGACAAAAACTTACAATGCATAACATTTTAAAAATCATTTTATTATTACAAATTTTGCGCATGTTTTTGCAATAATGAAAGTTTTTTTTCCTGTGCTTGAATACAAATTTGTTTGATAAAATATTCTCTTGTCCTGATGTTGCTATAAAAACCCAATTAATCAGCAGTGATACAGTTCAATCTGCACAAGAGAAAAGCAAATTAGTCAAACGTAAGGTGTAAAATCAAAAGCTACAAACAAAAAGAGGAATGAGAAGGCACAAGTGAAGCAAGGTATTAGTCATTAGTGATTTAGATCATTGCTCAAAGAGGAATAAGAATAGAGTATTAAATTTAAGTGGGACTGCTGTGCGAAAAACACACGTTTGTCTGTGGTCCAGTTTTTACTCTCCACTCTACAAGGAGATACAAAGCACAGAGATGTTAAACAGGAACAGTGGTGGACACGGGCTCGACATTGGATACTGTATGTTAGACCGGCACTATCCAGGGTAGATGAACTGTAACTGTGTACAGTAAAAGTCTATCAAGTACTGAGGGTGTGGAGCTGTAATTTATACTGTTGCCAGCAGAGGCCACCAGTGAGCTACACACCTCTCCTAAAAGGGAAGGTGAAACACCTGTAAACAGGAAACATAGTGTGTCCATAGTAAGGCACTTGATACAGTATATCGCAAACTGCACATTAGATTTCCTGTAATAAATTCATTTGAAAGCACCTTAGGACACATATTAATCCAAACTTCTGGATAGCGTGACAATCTAACATGATGTCTGCTGGTATGAGCGCTGAGGCGGCAGGGCGTCTCACCAGGAACTTGCGTTTCTGTTTCCAGTGGTTGCCTTGTGCGTTGGTGGCCATGTGGGCCTCGGTCACCATGCGGATGAGCTCCCACTCCTCCTGAGTGGGCTCCAGTCGGTCAAACACCGTCTTCTGAAGCTCCTCCCTTTTCCTCTTAACCCGATTCTCTTCAATCAGCTTCCTCTTGGCGAGCCTCTTGCTGTCATCCAGCACCACTGGCACATAACACAAATTTATGTCAGCACTGAACGCTGTAGTGGTCCACATGTCTACCTCACTGTTACAACTCACAGTCTGTGGCCATGCCCACCGCGATGCACTTCTTGAAGCGACATTCCTGGCACTGGTTGCGGGTCACTTTGTCGATGGCACATTTGCCCTCAAACTTACAGGCGTAGGTTGGGTTAAGGTTCTTTTGAATGGTGCGCCTGAAGAAACCCTACAAAACAATATCTCACTTAGACACGTCGTCACATTAACTGAATATAAACCCACCTAATCCAGACTTACTTCCTTACCTTGCACCCCTCACATGTGATACAGCGATAGTGGTATCCTGTGGCTTTGTCCCCGCACACAACACATAACTCATCCTTGTCTAGGTAACTCGGTATGTACCCTAGAGGCAAGAGCACACAGAGGAACATTTTTATCAAAAGTCATTGTTTTTGGTAATCCAATTTTAAGAGCAAAACAGTCATAGCAAATGGGTTAATAAAAAAGAAGATTGGATTAGTGAGTATTAGAAATCACACACACAACAATTTCAGAATTACAAAATGGCACCCTGAAAGTGATCAATATTTAGTGTTTATAAAGAAGCAGTCAGCCTTCTGTCGTTGCAGCCGTGATCAATAATTAAGCCCAACCTGCCTTATGCACACTTGGTTTTGAATAGAAAGATGTGCAATGTTAAAATGACACCCCAATCAAAATATCAATATCAAGCACAATAGGCCACTCATTTATTTACGCTATTCAAACTAACCAACTTTGTTAACAACAGCCTGCCTCAAACAAGACAATAATAATAATAATAAGGTACTTTCATTTTAATTAAACCACAAAATAATAAATGGAAATATTATATTCACCCAGATTAATTTTCTGCTTTGTTTATTAAACAACCACACCACAAATTCTGTATATTAATCACTGACATTTTACCTAGCAGCTATTTGAATTAAACATTGCACTACTAACCTCTACTTACTTAGTTACTGACCCCAAAAATGCACTCAACAATTGACAACATGAAAACTACTGCTACTTCCATACCTTTCTTGCTTGAGCTGTGAGTCCAATGTGAAAAATATGGTTTAATCTCAGGGAAATATTCAGGTGGATGATAATGACTAAACGCACTGTCCACACAATGAAATTGGTTTCTAAAGAGTGGTTGGTTGCCATGGTACGAGCAGGAGTAGTGCTGGGAGGGGGGCCATGTCTGCTCCACACAGGGGGGATGGTGGTGCAGAGTCTGGGTGTCACAGTGTCCGAACCCCTGCCTCTGACTGGAGAACATGCACGGTTCTAAAGGGGCCTGGAGAGAGAAGCCAGATCCTGCAGAATAGGGGCTCTCGAACATGTCGGCCACGCAGTAGTTCATGATAATACAAAAAAAATAATAAAAAAAATAAAATAAAATAAAATAAAGATGAAAATAGCAGATGTGCAAAAACACAATAGATAAAAAATATGTAAAAAAAAAAAAAAAAAAAAAAAAAAAAAAAAAAAAAAAGTCAATCAAAATGGTGGTCTTCCTCAAAAAAAAAAAAAAAAAAAAAAAAAAAAAAAAAAAAAAGAAAAAAAAAAATCAAACCATTATATAAAAAAATGGTGCTTCAATAAGGCAATAAAAAACAATTTAAGTGTTCCCTTTAAAATAAAAAAAATACCGGAAAAAAATTGTCAATGAAAAAGTGATCAAAAAACGTTAAAGCATAGGAAAATAAAACCTACATATCCTCATAACAAAGCATCATGTTTAAGCCTACACGGAGACACAACAATCTTATCAACAAACCCACTAACAGCATTGCATAAATGCATAAATGCATAAATATTTTGAATTAGCTAGATTTTGGTCAATTAACAATACTCACAAAAAAAAAAACTAAAAACCGCTAGCTATAAATAAATCAGTGGAATGGATTTGCTACCGTTTTTATCCAAGTCTCCGGTGCTCAGAAGACACGTCGTAACTGCCCCCGCCCTCGACTGACCGAATCGGGAAGCTGAGCCTTATGACGAAGCCTTAATCTTTTACTTCACAAATCCTCGAAGACATTGGCCATGCAACAAAATAATCCAATAACACCTACACAAAATATATCCATAACTGCTAATACCAAGAAAACGCAAAACGCAACTCAACAGACGGCTTAGGTTAGCCACTGTAGATGTCAAGAAGTGTCTCACCAATCAAAATCAAAACCCAGTTCCAATTTGACTTTTGAAATGTGCAGCCACAAAATCTACTGTTGGTAAGTTGTAAAAGTTTAAAAGAGTTATTATTACTGTCAACCGTCGCT